GTGTGTGTGTGTGTGTGTGTGTGTGTGTGTGTGTGTGTGTGTGTGTGTTTGCGTGTGCGTGTGTCCCTTACATCTCGCAGGGCACCCCCCCCACTGTGATGGTGAGGTCAGAAGGACGTCCTGTCAGCAGGTTTCGGCCTGTGATGGTCAGGGATGTCCCTCCAGCTTTGGGCCCCCGTTCAGGAGACACCCCCATCACAAATGGGTCCTGAGAAGGGGGAGAGGGTGGAGGGAGACGACTGTAAGTAGGGCTGCATAATGAATCAAAAATATTATGAAAATTCGCGAAAATTGACTGGTGTAAAATCCAATTCACAGTCCACAGTATTTTGGATGGCAATATATGTGGAAATATCTGAACGAAGTATAGTGATGCTGCAAAGAAGTACCAGCCAACAAACTGTATTCAATAGGCATCATTTAAATATACATGTATTTTTTATTGCAATGTGAATAATGTTTTAAAAATGATAATTCCCTTCGCAAATCATATTGCAACTGCAATGTTGGTCAAAATAATCGCATAACTTTGTATTGCTCAATTGCCTCGACAGCCTTAAAACGTTATCAACCTAAATACACATTTTCAAACTTGTCAGATTTCCAATTTATCATACTCTATAATATGTGGATGTTTTATGCTGTTTGCCAACAACACAGCAACGTCTCACCAGACCTCTACTGATCCACTGTGATGTAACTTAATGCGGTGTACCTGGTAGCTGAAGGTCTGGGGGGAGCGCCCTAACTCTCCTCCGCTCACGGTTACAGACACAGGCCCCGCCCTCTCTCCTCCACTGGCTCTGGTCCTGCACACAATCCTGGAGACAGACAGCAGTCCCTGGTCAGATGCTCTTAATAAACATGCATACATGCACCCTGACAATGTTTACTGAAGTCAATCATTCTTTTACAATGTCTTGTTTTGTAGTGTTTACTTTAAGAAAATCATTTCTCAATTCTGATGATATCAAGTTAAAGATATGAAAATGAAGACCCTCCACCCCCCTGCAGAGGTTGGTGTGTACCTGGAGGAGACCTCGTAGAGGCTGGGGATGACGGTGCAGGAAATCTCTGCGACTGACACAGAGTGCAGGATGTCTTCTGCCTTCTGGCCCAGGTTGGAGCCGGAGATGGTTACCATGGTGCCGCCCTCCAGCAGGCCAGAGAGGGGCTCAATCTGAAGAAGTAATAAAAAAGCTTAATTAAGCTTTCCGGAAGCATGGCATCTCTTAACATTAGCGATTCATCTCTACGTGCCGATTCATTCAAGTTTCTAAACTAATGGCGAAGAAAAAGCTCTATGAGATATATGAGTTTCCCACAAACCTTTAAAAAACAATATTTCACTTGTAATTCTCATAATGAGAATAGCAATAAATAAATAAATGACAAGGAATTGAGTAAAAGATAATAACTTAATTTACTCACAATGGAAGAATATAGTAAATACAATTTATGGAATGAAAAAAATAACAACGAGAATCAGAAACAAAGTTAATATCTTTAATGAAAGATGGAAAAATGTCTAAGTTACAGTATAGAACACAAAACATTTATAATGACCAGGTGGTAAGATGTGACAATTCATGTACTTATGAGTAACATATTAATGTTGTATCCATTATGTGTAAGCTATACCTTTTTTTATCAATTTGTGTGGTTTCTTTCCTCTCTTTTCCTGATTTGTCGATTGTTATGTAGTTATTTTATGTAAGTGTTTATTTTGTTGTGTATGCCTTGCAATCAAATCATTTTGGTGAGGTCAAGGGTCAGTACTCACCGAGTGGATGACGGGGGCGGGGCATGTCTGCTGCACGGGTTCACTGCAGGACTGTGAATACAAGCAGCTGGCCTGAGCCCCCCCACACCACACACAGCCGTACTTATGGTCTGCGGTGTGGCAGCGGCTGCAGTCAGAGCGGCCCACCGAGCAGTTGTACAGAGTCACTGAGAGACAGAGCAGAGGCAGGTCAGGGGGGTGTGTGTGTGTGTGTGTGTGTGTGTGTGTGTGTGTGTGTGTGTGTGTGTGTGTCAGAGGAAAATACATATTGAGTGTAAAACATTAGAACCTGAACTCACCATACAGATCAGGAGAGCTGTCCACATGGAAGGTGTCCCTCCTCTTCACATACACCATGGCATTGTATTCCTCCACCGGAGCAGAATATGTGTACTGGACAAACAATGTTTTCATTTCAAACACACTGTGACTAAGTATACACAGTTTAATCCTGCCTAAAAAAATCACGAGTTTATCATGATAAATGACATTTACTTGATCAAAGTGTTTGTTTGTGATGAACATATTGGATTTATTTAAAAAAAATACCTACAACATTTTTCTCTAATTCTAAATAAAGATACTGTAAACTAGATGTTTTATTTACACAAAATGAGAACAGGTTGGAGTAACAACCTATGCAGGTGTTTCAGACATCATATAATGCTAAAAAAAGATTTAGTGTCAAGTTTCATCTTTAGTGGAATAACCTCATTTCAAATCACAGCTTTGATGCGTGTTGGCATCCTCTCACACATTGCTGCATATTTGTTATTATTTTTGACCAGTTTTCATTTTCTGCATTCTCTAAATGACAACATTTCAATTTGGTTGAAATGTCATCAGTAGCTTACAGAAGGAAACACAAAAGTTAATTTCATTCAAGCACAAGCCTATAAATATTAAAACCAGATAAACTGATCTGTTTGCAGTGGTCCCGAGCTCTGAATACACATGGTCTTATAAAGCGAGAGTACAGATGAGCAGACCTGGTGCAGTTGACAGGTGATGTCAAAGTTGGATGGATTCATGTCATCAGTTTCTACGTAGGCGTCCACCACCACCGTTTGCCCCTCGATGACCAACACACACTCATAGTCCAGGTCTGCCTCCTACACACACACACACACACACTACATGAGTTGAGGCTGAGAGAGAGAGAGAGAGAGAGAGAGAGAGAGAGAGAGAGAGAGAGAGAGAGAGAGAGAGAGAGAGAGAGAGAGAGAGAGAGAGAGAGAGAGAGAGAGAGAGAGAGAGAGAGAGAGAGTGTGTGTGTGTATGTGTATGTGTGTGTGTGTGTGTGTGTGTGTGTGTGTGTGTGTGTGTGTGTGTGTGTACCTGGTAGAGGTGCAGGTTGCGTGCCAGTAAGGTGATTTTCCTCTCCACTCTGACAGGGAGCAGCGCTGAACCCTGGACCTTCTCCACACAGGGACACGCTGAGGACCCCCAGCTGACGTAGGAGCCTTCGTCCCCCTGTAATACACACAGAAACACTCATTATGAGCCAGTGAGGTAGCACAGTGATGCTGCAGATCTATTAACTGTTTTTTATTCATTTCTGATATGTATGTAATATTGTAGTAACAGTGCACTGGCCTAAAGAAAAGCTCCACTGATGTTATACATCACTCTGTATCCCGGAGTTTTGGAGTTATACTGCACATGTGATAAAGAAGTACAAAGGCTTTAGTATCTCCAGAGGGAGCTGTGATGTTACTTGAGTCAGTGCCATCTGGGTTTGTAGTTTGAAAAGTTAAAAGTGAGCTAACAGACATCTGTGGTCTGCACATGTTTGCTGCAAGAAACATTAACAGAACACACCTGAATCCAGAGGGTCCAAGTGCAGACTCCCCACATGAGTTTGCAACACCCTCCCTCCTAAGATGTTTCTCAACTCTGAATGAGATACTGTGTGTCCACAGATAAGTGATAGGAGAGCAATGTTTAATCATTTAATTTCTTAGATATTCCTAAACATGGAGGGTTTGTTTTATCCTCTTTCCTTACACTGAGCCATGTTGGTAAATATTGTGTTAATGTTAACATATTCCATTCACTGCAAAAACACAAAGCAGAAAACGTTCAAAGTCAGTTTGTAAAACTAATACTGATCTGTAAATCTAAAAAGCATGAAAAAAGGAAATGAATGGCTAAATGATCTGCTGCAGCTGTCTTTTATTCCATAGGATCAGTATAAAAAGCAAAAGGAAAAAGAGCCAGGTGTCAGACAGAGGAAGAATAGGAGGGTTTGAGCTGTGATCCTGTCGGTAGAACCGGCAGCCCTAACAGGCTCCTGGAGATTTGACAGGAAGTAGAAGTAGAAGAAGAAGAAGAAGTAGGAGGCTGGAGGCTGAACTCACCGGGAGGAAGGCGTCAACTGAATCATACTGGTAGTCCAGCTCTGAGTCAGTCTCCAACAGGTGAGGGTAGGACGGGGGGGCGTGGTCCACCTCACCGTCACCTGAGAGCACGGTGGCAGCAGAAAATGTTGCCGTGTCGTTTTCTGACAGTGCAGTGCTCTCAGTGTGGACGTCCTCTTCTTCTATGGGATCGAGGAGAACCTCAGTGTCGCTGCCTGGGCCCCCTGCCTGAGTGCTGGAGTCCTGCGTGGGCATCAGAGTAGTGGTCTGGCTCAGGTCAGGAGGGGGCTCTGAGTCGTCGGGGTCACCCACAGAGAAGGGTGTGGGCAGGGGGAAGCCAGACGAGGGAGGGGTGGGGGGCTCGGCCAGGCTCAAAGCTCCCTTGGCTTCCTGAGTGCCGCTGTGGGGAGAACCCGTCATCACCTCCAGGGGGGTGGAATCCTCCTCATATGGAGGGAGGATCAAAGGTACCGCAGGGTCCAGGTCTTCCTCGACACCGTCAGCAATGGTGACTGGCACCAACTGCGTGGCTGCCACGGTGACACTGGGTGTTACACTTTGGGAGACAACAAAAAGCTCCTCCTGCTGGTGGGTAGTGAGCTCTGGGGGGGCGGGTGTAGTGGGTGGAGCCGTGGTAGAGGGGAGGGTGCTGGCAGGCAGAGGTGGGGTGGTTGGCTCAATCCTGGTAGTGGTTGCAGGTGGAGTCGTGGGTGCAGGGGGGGTGGTTGGCTCCTGAGTGGTTGCTACGGTGACGGGGGCGGCGGTTGTCGTTGTTGTAGCAATAGTTGTTGTTGTTAGGATGGTGGTGGTTGTCATGGCAGCGGTTGTGCTAGTTGTGATGACTTTTATCGGTTTGATAGTGGGAGGAGCTGAGGTGGGGAGTTTGAACTGGGAGGGGGGAGGAGGGGGAGACATGAGGAGAGGGTGAGACAGTAAAATAAAAGTAATGGGCTCAGGGAAATGGAAATAAGCAATGAGTGAACTTAAACATGACGATAAACTCAACCTGCTGTTATTGTGTTATTGGTGCTAATGACACAGCATGGTGTGTTTCTGTTGGAGGAAGCTGGGACTGTAGCTGTTGTGCATATGACATAAAGCCTTTGAAAATAATGAGGATTTTACTATACGATATTACTTTATTTGTCAGATCAAGTCTGAAATGTAACTTGCGTCACAGCAGCTCTATGTCCAACATCAACAGACAAGTATCCAGACACAATACATTAAACACAAACAACAAACATTTAACATAACAGCACAATCAGTGAGAGAAAAGCTGCTCAAAGAGTCTTCAGCGTGCATTTGATCTGGGATTTAGCTCTGTATTTACTGTGAGGATTGACTGATGCACAAAGGAGTGCTTCAGTCTGACCTTATTGAATCGTGGGACCCTGTATCTCCGATTAGATGGTAGCAGTTCATATTCACTGTTCAGAACATGGTTTGGTTTAATGGCTTATGAGGTTCTACAAAACATGTATGGGCGCTGGGGAATGCAAGCATCATATCAGAATAGGAAAATGTACCAAACATGTTCTTATGCATCCAAATTCTCAGAACAAAACACTCACGTGGTTTTAGTTTAATAACTGAACAGACACTGAAGCGGTTTATGTTTGCTTTGTGTTTTGTTTTGATCTGAAATGAGTGACTGTTATGTGAAGCTGTTGAATGAAGAGAATGTGTACTAAATAAATGTGTATCATCTGCTCCAAGACTCCTCAGCTAATGGCTCATTTCTCAGCAGGGGGCAGCAATGCATCCGACAATTTGCAACCCCCCCTTTTGCTTGTGTGCAATCAACTCACAGCACAACTCTTCTAGAAAGATATTAACACTATAGAGGCTGTGTCTGTAAGGAGCTCAGAGTACACTCTGCATCAGATATCTATTGTTAAATGAACTTACATGTTGGTTGTAGATGATCACACCCTCCTCACAGGTGGGCTTGTGGGTGCACAGGTGCTGGTGAACGCACCAGTTACATCCCCACCGGCTCAAAACACAGCCCCGGCATCTGCACACACAATAACAGCTGGTTAGATAAGAGGCAGGAAACGATAGACAAAGGTTGAGGCTGCAAGGTGACAAAACGTAAAAAGAGGCCCGGGGGTCAATGAAGCTTTGAAGAGAAGAGCGAGAAGATCAGGTTTAATATACGTAATGTGGGATTGTATCTACAAGATAGAAGAGGTGGAGAACAAAGGTATAGAGATACTAACAGGCATTTCACACACTGATGTTTAGAGGCCATTTTTTTCCACATCTCTTCACTCTGTTAATAATAATAATAGATTAATTTTGTTAGCGCTTTTACAGGTGCTCAAAGACGCTTTACAGATATAGTGAAAAGAAAAGAACAACAAATAAATATATAGTTAAAGTCAAATAATACAAAAACAATCACATTAAAAGCCAGATTGAAGAGGGGAGTTTTTGTGAGTTTTTTGAAGGTGGTGAGGTCAGTGTAATGGACATTTATTTGGAATGATCCTCCGCAGCAGAGGAGCCAGAAAAACTGCAACAGTTCTTTAATTGATATCTGACGGTAATTTATGACAAGCACCAGTGTGAGTGAATTCTAGCTACATTAGCATTATTTAAAGTAAAAGTCACCCAAGGCCAATAATCAGTGGCGTCTTCTGAGAACAACTTGTACGAACACATTTGTTGTTAAATGACACGTAAAAATGACATGAGAGAATTTACGGCTTTCACCAGTTTTCTGGCACTGAATGTTCTTTCAGAAATGAATGGAATTCTTGAGCAGTCCAGACCTGTCAGTACAGCGCTTCTCTCCTCTGGGGAAGAGAACTCCTTGTGACTGTTTGAGAATCACAGGCCCTGCATTCACACCCTGGAGGCCAACTCTATACTGAACAGTGAAATCAAATGAGTCTTTTATAGCACTCAGTAAATGAACATGCCATGATGCTGATGATATGATTAACAGAATACAACTTTGTGTAAACTTATATGAATATAGTATAGCTATATACCGTATAGTTATATGACAAGCCAGTGAGAAGCTGAGCAGACAGCATCACTCTGTGAGGAAACTTTGAGGAGTATATATAACTTAGTAACTACAGAAATATGACTGTATACAGTTATTCTGTCACCTTATCATCATCATCATCATCATCATCATCATCATCATGGCTCGGCACAGAGGTTTGCTGTAGGCTGCAGTCCAGTGGACAGAATGTTCTGGTCTTTATGCAGATCTCTCTCCACATCGAGTGTCAGATGGATCATTTGCATGAATGAATTCCTCTTCACTCGTCATGTCTCACATGTACAGCACCACATACACAGTGATTTTATTTCTTGTATTAAACCCATCCTAGTATTAGGAGCAAGTTTTAAAACACATTATATAATGATAACTGTGTCTGACATTGCACCCCTCCCCTGGGCCCCTCATGGTCTTCCTCATAAGCCTCCCACTGACACACAGGCAGCTATAAAACATTATATTATACAGCTATTATACAGCGTCCGGGGAGCAGTGGTGGGGTTTGGTGCCTTGCGAGGCCCAGTAGATGAAAACACACATTGTACTTAGGACTTCAAGGCAACCCTCTGGTGCCCAAGCCAAGTCCCTGCTGAGCAGCTGCCATCCCATCAACACTGTTGCATATGACTGCATCAGCTGTTAATGTGTAACATTATCACTTCCATCTCTGTGACAGTCACATCATGTCCTGAGACTTTGGCAGCTGCATTAATATCTTCTAATATCAAACAGCTAACTAAGTGATGGTGTTCTAGGTTGATGTCATGCTGACACAGAGTGTGACAGGTAGCCTTACACAGCAATTCATGGGAGTCTGACCTACTCAACAGCCTGAACCTGCAGGTTTTTTCAGAAAAGGTTTGGTGAATTTAAACTTAGAATGCATATATATATATCAAAGAACATATATCATATATCAAAGAAAATGTTAATCGTTTGATAGCCCTAATATATATATATATA